AGCAATCGATAGACAGAGCAAAGTTGATTGACCTGTATTTAATGACATCCCATTTTTTTTTTTTTGTTCCAAGGTTACCCCTCCACATTTCTAAGAGGCTTTTCCGACTAGGCAGGAAGAAAGTGAAAGTCCAAGAGCGCGAATCAAACAAGAGACGCCGAGAATCGCCAAGAAGGTTACCAGGGGTAGGTCGCAGAAGGCTGCACTGGCCAGCTAGTTCCAAGGTTGAGGGGCCGCAAATCACCGACGAAGAAATCACTTTCCCGGAGCTACATGGAACTTGCATATAAATCCAAGAATCACGGCTTGAGACGCATCTGTATATACAAATTCCCGCATAGTATGAACAAGAAATCCAGCGTATAAAGCCTTCTATAAACACGTATTTATTCAAAAGGTATATTGTTAGTATAAACTAGATCCTGCAATCGAGGCTATTGCATCCATGGAAGCGAGACCATGCTAGTTTCACAGCCAACAACCACGGGCTATAGTTCACTGGCAAGGATTCCCGCCACGCTCGCTGATGACCCTTGCGATGCATGCCCACACTAGTCATCAGCCCGTTCTAAGCCATTTCTCTATTAGGGAAGTAATAGTATGATCATGATATAGTTTCGCAGTCGCTGTCTAGCATTGACTATAAGATGCAGCACCGACCGAGATTAGGGGCGTGTGCGGTATTTCCGCTATTGGCCTATATCGCCGGGCAATGCTTTCAAATATTTATCGACTGGGTGAGAGGGAACCGGAGAGACCGACGATGACGACAACTGGGTCGTATTCGTGGCCAGGCAACCGAGAGCCATTCTGTGACGCCGGGGCTGTGTAGTGTAACCTCGGATAGAGCGGACGGAGCGGGGAATGCGGCATCGAGGGTACACCGGCGCTTTATAGATATGAAGGAGGCTGGCGGTACCAGAGACGAACAAGGCTTACTAGCAGAGGAAAACCTAGATAGCTTCGTAGTATGGCACAGTCACTCCCTTAGGGAAGGAGTAGGAGTATCGAACTGAAGCCACACGATGCCGCTGCGGGCTAGATCATTCTAGTGGATCTGCTTCTGTGCAATTACTATTCCAGCCCGAGGATCGAGAACAAGCTAGGGTTCGGATCGAGCGGCATCTCCAATAAAATGAAAGGGGCAGTGCGTCGGGCTGCAAGCTAAGGCGTAATGGTCGGTGGGGGCGAGAGGGAAAGAAAGGGCGCGGCGATGAGTGCAAGATAGAGGAGTTCCAGGGAGAGGAAGAAGGAGAAGAGAGGTCGAAAGGGCGAGGTCGGGTCTTTTATGTCGAGGCGACGTCGGGAGAGGTTACAAAACAGCGTATTGGGGCGCTAAACCTAGAAAGGCAAAACCAACCGGATACAGTAATTCACAGGTCCCCATATTACAATATACACCTTCGCACACCACGTCACTCCACGTTGACTGTGTCAGGAATCACTTCGAATCTACCCATTATTTTGCGCTATCTATTGCCATAGTTGTGACTACCGTTTATCGATTGATTCTGTTCCAGGAAAGCACGATGGCGTCACCGAATCCGAGGAAAGAGGCCCTCGTAACACCTGGTCCTCCGAGGTTCACATCTACAACTTCTCCGGACCAGACAGTTGACCGCTCGATGTCTTCAATAGTAATCCCAGACATGCAACCACAGAGTTCATTTTCGAAAACAACACCTAGCGAGTCAGACTTCTGTGTCCCAGATAACACAGAGGAGTTTTGGGCCGACAACCTACGCCAAGCGCGGAAGAAGATAGCTCACATCCAGGCAACAGTCGATGCGAATGTCAAGATATCCACCCACAACCTCCTGGTCTCTGGTCTTGAGCAAAAGGAAATCCAGCAACTTCTGCAGAAAAAGCATAGTGGCTCTAGGGCCACTTTCACCGACGAGCAAGTTTTATTCCAAATCATTCCGGGAAATGCGCATGAGCAATTGATCGTGTTCTTACAGCAGAACTTCGTGAGGGCAATGGAGGCGGCGAGTTGCCCGATGACGAGATCCACGTGGGTAGGCATTGGCGCCACGAGCTCAAAGGGACGGTTTTGCGGAAAGGAGCCCGATTGGGGTGTGAGGCCAATCGCAGGCGGTACTTCGGGAGCCACCAACCTCCCCCCGGCAGAAGAACCCTGGCCGTCCCTTGTTGTCGAAGTTGGGTCTTCCCAAGGTCATGCATCGCTTCAGAGGGATGCCCGATGGTGGTGGAATAACTCGGACGGTGCCACGAAACTTATCCTCCTTTTCAAAATCAAAGACACCCGGGGCTTTGCAGTCGAGGTAGAGTTATGGGAAGAGGTGGTAGCCCATGACACCGGCGTGGCAACCCGATCGCGGCCTCCGTCTATCTCAACTAACCTGCAACGGACGCAATCCACCACTGTTGATGCCTCCGGCCAACATTCTAGCATCTCACTTCGCTATTCAACTTTGATGAGGCAGCCCCCGGGCCCAACCCACCCAGAATTCGTTGTCCTCACCCCTGGGATGTTAACTGACATCTGTGCTCCCACTGTTTGAGTACTTCCTTTCCAACAGAGAGTGAGTTAGTTGGTTAAGCCGCTAGCCCTATCAACGTAGACGACAATGACGGCTTACTTACTAAAGCTACCTTGGTTGGTATAGCTTTCCTTTAATTCTTACCCCGTATCTAATTACGCAGTCACCCAGCTATACGTAGGTGCGGCCCCAGGCGGCCATATACCCATGGTCACCACTGAAGCAAAACTTGTACCTTTACCTCGTGCTTAGGATTAATACCTACATATGTAGCCTTCAAGGGCACTCAAACCAAGCAACCTATTAGTAATAATTATAGTCGTAGGTATCCATGGATGGATGAATAGGAACTTTAGTACCTACATGTGTATATGCGGATGAATTACCTCCAGGGCTATCTATCTAGGTAGTAATGGGTGGCTCTTATTGTCTTCCTGCAAGACGGGTGGGATTACTTCTATTGTCATAGTGTTCGATTCGTTCCCCCAAGGGCCTATCAACATAGCGAAGGTCCATGAATTAATACGGAGATAAAGAATCGGCCTTCTTACCGCAGGCCCGGGCCCAAGGCCGGGCACATCCACGGACCCACATGTGATTACATTACATAACGCGATATGACGCCAGAGTCCCCGCACTCGTTCATGATTATTCTATTTATTTTGTGTTATAAGTTTCATTTCTCCTAGCAAAACAGAGACTTCGATCCATGACCCGTCTGCGAGCTTGCATCAGATCAATTGGACGTTTTCAGCGACTCTCCCACCCCTTTACAAACCCAGCTCTCTTCACAAACCCCACCTCCTTCCTATTCGCGGCCCACCGAACTTCCATCCGACGCACCATGGCTTCCGCAATGGCAAAGCGCCTCGAGGGCAAGACTATCGTCGTTACCGGTGCCTCATCTGGCATCGGAAAGAGCACTGCCAAGGAGTTCGCCCGCACGTCCCCCAAGAACCTGAAGTTGATCCTCACCGCGCGCCGTATCGACACATTGAAGGAGGTCGCGGCGGAGATCGCAGAGGAGGTTGGCGATGGTGTCAAGGTTCTTCCCGTCAAGCTGGATGTCAGCAACCCAGATGAAGTCAATAACTTTGTTTCCTCCCTGCCAGAGGAGTTCAAGGAGATTGATGTCCTCGTCAACAATGCGTGAGTCATACACATCAAGCCGAACTGATTGATACGCACGATCGATACTGACATTCACGGTGCAGTGGCTTGGTCAAGGGTGTCGCCCAGGCACCTGAGATCGCTGCCGAGGATATCAAGGTCATGTTTGACACCAACGTCACCGGGCTCATTAACATGACCCAGGCCGTCCTTCCCATCTTCAAGAAGCGCTCTGAGGGTGGTCGTGGTGACATTATCAACATTGGCAGCATCGCCGGCCGCGAGCCATACGCAGGTGGTAGCATCTACTGCGCCACCAAGTCTGCTGTCCGCTCTTTCACTGACGCGATGAGAAAGGAGCTCATCGCCACGAGAATTCGTGTTATTGAAATCGATCCCGGTCAAGTTGAGACGGTATGCTTATTGCATACATTTATAATCGTGTTTGGTATGAAGCTAATACCCTTGATTAGGAGTTCTCTGTTGTGCGATTCTATGGAGACAAGTCCAAAGCTGATGCTGTGTACAAGTAAGTCATGCGAAATAAGCCGAGAAACACAATATAACTGACCATTGGCAGGGGCGTCGAGCCATTGACCGGTGAAGACATCGCCGAGGTTGTTGTCTTTGCGGCTGGTCGTCGTGAGAATGTTGTGATCGCCGACACCCTGGTCTTCCCCAGCCACCAAGTAAGCTTGTTCTGCGCTTGGATTCTCTTACGGGCAGGTTCTGACTATTCTATAGGCTGCGGCTGGTGTGATGCACCGCAAGTCGTAACTCACACGCCTCGGATCCGAATGAATATTTAGAGGTTTGCATAGCGCTGTACTTGTTCCAAGATCCACGGATCTCACGTCGTGTGACGTAAATACGAAGTACATACATACCTATTCGACGCCAACAATACGGATTCAATTAGGTCGATAAGGCCGAAGTACAATAAGATTATCACGCTTCGTATATTGCATGGTATACATGAGGAAAGTACTAGCCGAGCCACGACTATTCGCATCCACGCTCATTTCAAAAGATGACCCGATGATCACAGAGCGGCGATGACCAGTGCAGCTGCAACACCACCGGCAGCCCAGCGCGCGTTTCCAGTAATCATGGGCACAGCAGCGTTACCAGTCTCGGTCTGGCTGGTGGCAGCAGCACTACTGCTATCCGAGGAATCCCTAGCAGTGCTAGCGGTTGTACCAGTGCTAGTGCCAGTCGCACTGGTGTCGGAAGTAGAAGCGGAGGTAGTCAAAGTAGCAGCGCTAGTCGAGGCGGCGGTAGAAGCCGAGACCGAGGCACCAGTGGTAGCGGAAGCACTGTCAGATCCAGTTGCGGTGATGGTCACAGGCATCAATGCGCCGCCAGGGATTTCCGTGATAGCGATCTTTGAGTTCCACGTGGAAGTCGAGCCACGCTCGTCGAAGGTCGCGCCGCAACTCGCGCTTGTGGCATCCCACTTGCAGCTCTCAGCGATGGTGCTATTTCAGGAAAGGATCAGCTATGACTGTGGGGGTAGAAGTGGATTCCTTGTACGGCTGGATACTCACATAGATTCCATGCCGTACCCCAGGCTGACGGTTGAAGAGCCTTGGGCCACGGTCATGCCATCGGCTGGAATGCCGCACTCGGTTTCATCAAGATCGGCTGCACACTTGATGAAATATTTGGTCATGGAGCCGCTCTGGTAAAAAATCAATTAATTTTGTGCTAAATCAACAGAGGGATGATTGCGCATACAGTGCCAATGACCTTGCCCTCAAGTCGTTGCTCATCGAACCCAGGTAGGAAAAGAGTGACTGTCTCCGCAGCGACGGCGGTAGTGGCGCTGGCCAGGAGAGCGAGGGATTGGATACGCATCTTGTATTAAATCAATTAACGAATGTGAGGGCAGTCAAACGAGCGACAGAAAAGATTTGGAATGGGTTAGGAGATAGAGCGACCGTCGCCTTCATATAAGATGAGAACTCCCGATTTCAGGTTTCATGTAGTAAGCAGTCGGGACTGGACAGTCTAAGACCGTTTAGGATAATGAAGAGAAGGCGTTGAAACGGAGCCTTCCTATTGGCTGATTGTTTATATCATGGTCGACTACAGGATAGTATCTAGCCTGTTTAGGCACTAGCGAGGTGATAGTCTGTGAAAGTTGCCACTATACCCAATTAGACCACTTGAACCCCTTGCCCTAAAAGGGCCCAGACGCAGGGAAGCAAGAAAAAGAATCCATTGAACTCCAGATCCCAACCAATTCTAAATGCCAGATAGCTCTAAAGCTAAAGATAGAAAAGGATGCCGAAATATCCCAAGTAACATAACATGTGCCCAGGTGGACTCATACTGGTGTCAATGTCAGCAAAAGCAAATTTCCACCAAGCTAGTCCAGTGACGAGCTAGGACCGCCCTCAGCCTCAACCTCTCCCGTTTTGTCAGGGATTTCTTGTCAGTGACCGTGACAGTTCTTCTTTCCTTCTTTTTCAATAGTTAATAGCCATTTTGGCATTTTAGCACTTAGCCAACATTTCATATTTGTACTTTTCATATTTGTACTCCGTAGTCATGGAGGGGCTTTTATCAGATAAGAATCCCTTTCCTTTTTATTCCGAAGGTACATGCGTGATTCAGTGTTATCTCAGGATACATGGTTTCTTGGGTCGAGATAGTCAGAGAATAAACTCGGCGAATAGTTTGATTTCAGATTGCCCTAACTATCGCTGCGTCTTCTAGTCTACTCGCCATATCCATGGCTCTGTCTGAGTGAACATAAAAGAGTCCCTCGAACAGATTTCTTCGCAGATACTGGTTGAATCTCCGCAAACACAACCTTTTGAAAATACTCCGTGGAACCCGAGTCGCCATATTCGAGGTGGCTTGCTTGATAGCCATGTGCCCGAAAGCATCCATTCACTGCCTTCCCGCTAACCGACAGGGTGGTTGGCTGAGGCTAATTGCCAAGCTTCAAAGAGAGTAATGCTAAGCGATTAACTAGTTAGTACCCTTCTCTTCAAATGCCAACTCTGCGTATTCCAACCGCAGTTCATAAGGGTCCTTTAGACAGGCTAGCATTGTGGCTGATGCTGCAGGTGATCATTTCCACCGAATTTCCAAGTTATCTCTCCCCAAGGATGCCCACGATACGACCTGATTCGAGTACAACCAACAACGGCTACACGAACTCATCTTCTATATGGACTCATCTTATGCATTGAAACGCCTTGGCAAGGCACATTCTATCTTGGCTTTAAGCTACAAAGAAAACCTCCGATGTCTTCGATTCTATAAAGGAGCGCGAGTGAAACCACATCCACTAAGATCCATTAGCCCGACCCCTCGAGATCAAACAGGATCGCTACTATCAGACATAGAAACCATTTTTCACATCAGTCAACTATTTTCCTACCGACGCGATGGCAGGAAAAGTCGATGCCAACAATAAGGTCTATAAGCTCGCCGCGATGCCCTTCATTTTGGAACGCAAGGGCGACTACGACGAAGCCATCAAAATCTACAAGAGCGCCATAACTGTTTTGGATGAAGCGACCAAAATATACAAGAAAGGGAATGCCCTCAAAATCCACAGAAAAATGTTCGACAGACAGGTCCAAGTTCATCGAGAACGACTGGCCTATCTTGAAGACCTAAAGCGCAAGGGCAGTTTCGACGGTATAATATTGCCACCGACGATTTTGGATGCGATGGAGGAGGTGGAAAATGAGGACGGAAAGACGTGGTCATTGACCCAGGTAAGCAACACATTCTGGCAGATGGCAGACTTTTTCCAGTTCACTGATTCTTGTCAACTGCCAGATCCGCAAAGCTCTTAATACTTTCCGCAGAAATGATCCCAGTCAATCTGCAAAGGATATCAGCACAGCTCCAGCCCACGTCCAGCCATTCCTCAATACCGACACCTCGCAAATCCCCTTCTTCTCGCTGACCCTCTCTCCCTCGACGCCCACTGTTACTTACCGGATTACGCATTCCTCGGAGCTTGTCAACCTGGGTAGGCGCTCATATTGGTTTTTCGTCAAAGATTCAACCAACACGCACGTCTTGTACGCCCTCCAATTCGTGTGGAGCAACGAAGAACCCATCGTCAGCACGGTCCTCCGACGGGCTGGAGAGTTCTTACCCGACATCGGGGCGACGAGTGTGAGACTGCAGAAGACGAAAGGAGGCAGTTTCCGGCTGATGACACGGACAATCCCTGACATGGGCACAATAACTGAGATTCCGGATGGAGAGATGCAGAGAAAGAATTGGTCGCCGCGACGATTCGAGTATGGAGGGCGCAATTTCGTTTGGAAGAGTGCAGCAGCTGAGGGTAAGAAGGAGGGTGGGATGTTTGGGAGCTTCGGCTTTGCTTGGGAGACTCTGTATGAGACTAAGCGTGTGTGGGCTAAAAGTGGAAGTAGGACTGGGAAGATGGAAGATGAAATTGTTGGTCCCAGGCTGTGCTGGGGAGAGAAGAAGGGCGGAAACGGTGCTGATCACAGTGTTCACATGGTCGGTGGATTGGATATTTATTTCAGAGAGCATTTGCTCGCCGTCCAGTTGTCGAGGTTGGCTCGCGTCAGCTATCCCCCGCAAAAGGATACCAAAGGGGTTGAAGTAGCAAACGTTGGTGTGAGTTGGCTTTCGATTGCTTCGTCTTTCGCATGAAATCCTGGCGAAGAGGCTCGGATTTCCTTTTTGCTGCATGTGTTCCTCCTTTTTATGATACCAAGTTATTCTTTTTAGTCCTGGTAAGAAAACTAATTAATATCATTCGATAGCCATGTTCTGCCTGTTGTGGTTAAACATTTATAGCCAAACATTCACGAGGTTGAGGTGTACCTGGTCAGCATGCGCAAATCGTATCGAAGAAGCTCCAGAGGTTTCAGGTCGATTAATGTGTGTAATGCTTGAAGAAAGCCAATCAGTTCCAAAAAAGAATTGGAGTATATAAGTATACCTCTTGGTTTGTGTGCCGATATGTCGTACAAGCCGAGACGCCGCTCTTGACGGCAGCACAGCAGAATTAAGGGTGGGACATGGTTGGGGGGTGGAGGTACTGCTCGCACAGGCATTCGACCAGTTTCTACTCTGGATGGGACTTTAGCCACCGAGGGATATTATTGCGGAGACAATCGTGACGGTTGATGGAAAGCCGGCTACTATGGCTAGAGGTGGCATGCTTTAGATTGGGAATTCAGTAAGCTGGATTCAGAAAAATTGATATGACACGAAATAATACACCGGTCAATTGGAGCTCGACACGAGAATCGTACTAAATGGTTCAATCATCTGTTTGGATAGATTGGATGTTCGGCTATATATCCCATTGCTTTGTGTCAATCGATGATTACCCCACACTCAGATCCCAAGGGGAATAGATAACTCACGCTGTGTTTTCCATTCTGGCAAACCGCAGATTGTCGAAGATCCAATTGGCTTGGGTCGTTGATAAATACATCTTCCTTGGGACATTCGATTACCCCAGTCGCGGATTTCCTGCTCCAAGATCGGCAGGTTATGACAATTTACTGGAAGCCATCCCGTGGACGTAGGCTGGATCAGTAGTGCAAGGACATTCAAAACCCAGAACTTGCTGTTGCTGCTTCTTCCGGGACAGTTAAGGGTGCTGTCGTAGGACCTTATTACCCTGTCGACAAATGGGTGCAGTGGACGAGTGATATCGGCAATTCGGAACAGGCCCGTAAGAAGTGGAGTGTCGAAGATTCGACCAGTATACTCATGCTCAGATCTTAGACCAGATCCTGAGTCTACGACGTGGTATGCCATCCCTCCAGCGCAGTCCGAGTGGAGATACAGACCCCAGTAGAACTCATTGGGCTCGGGTGGTTCTTGACGGGCTTGAAGAATGACATACAGTCCGCCGACTTTGAGATCTGTAAAAGACATTTGGAGACTATTGGCTGATGCTCCGGATATTCAACTTTGACTTGTTGGCAGTTTGTCTAGTCTCCTTGGGCCTTGGGTAGGCACGAGTTGGGTAGCGTTCGTTCTATTTTCACAATGTAGACAAATTATTACGGTGATTTCTTCAGAGTCAGGTACTTAAATCTCCGACAGATTGGACACGTTGTGTTAATTGTCGCTGCTCATGTGCCCAGGCACTTGTACCCCCATGGCCTGTTGCACGTCGAGCGCGATTGGTATGCCTTCCGTCCCAAATCAAGTGAAGTGTGATTCGGCTCTTTTCCTTAGGTGACGAGTGACTCCGGGTATCTGTCTGGCTTTTCTTTGTCTCCTAGAGCCAGCTGCAATTCCAAGTTCACTTTTATCGATCCGGTTGATATCTACGTAAAAGCACTCTATATGGATGGTTCTCCGCGCCTCTTGATTTAAAATTGCACTTGGCCGTTAGACAATATGCAAGCCTCGCTTTTGTTGGGTCTATGGACTTATTTTAGTATGTATCACGTCTGTGTGACTTCGTAAGTAGATTTGTCACTAAATATTGGACAATGCCTACCAATAGTATTCCCTATCACATCGCTTTGTGCGGCTCATTATCGGTTTTCTCGGCATTATCCCATCGTAGTTCCTTCTAAGCGCTGCCTCGAAACACAGTGCCTCGTACTACTTGCCGGATGCTGACAGATGCATGATCACCGGAGTCATGATCAATCACAGACCGTGCGTCCGTTTGACGGGTCATATCAGGATCAGCCCACATTGCGAACCAAACGGATGCAGCCTTGCTGGTTATCAAATCTCACCTTCTAAGAATAATCTATGGAATACAATATACTCGGAATTTGATTATTGACCGGCCAACCAAGTAATATCGGAATTTGGTATCGGCTCCTTTCAACCTTGGGAGATTCCAAGGTTTTGTTCTAACCGGCGGTGCTTAGTCGTGCACATGGAATTGAGTTCCGGTCATCCATGGGAAAGGAAGCAACAGAGTCTCGTCTAGGTCAAGACAGGCATCGCGCCCGGGGAAGAACCATGGACAAGAACAAAAATTATTTTTATTTTTGCTTTGACATCACTCGTACCTGGGTAGAAATCTATAGTCGGTAAAAGAGTCAAAGAGTGTGAAAATATGGCTGGTGAAGCATGTTATAGACAATTACCTAGCTCGAGGTGACCCACGCCCAAATGTGACTCTGCATATATCCTCGGAGGTCGGATCCAAGTCCTAAGTTGCGGGGCTCCAAAGTTTGCACCTGTCAAAGCTAATATAAGCAGTTTATAAGCAGCCGCCAACTTTATTATGGCCTAAAGGAACATAATGGTGGGGATCAAATTCCCGATATGCAGCTTTGGCATCTGTCAAGAAAAACGGCGTGACTTGGATCTTAGTAGGGCATATGGCGATCGTGGTGAGAACCAGTTGATCGGCATCGAACGCTCCGATAATTTCTATATGGTGGGGTTTCTAAGAGTGGAACGTCAACCAGAATAAGAATTTTTTCCGATGTATCCAATCATCAAAAGTGACAGAGGTGATTGTGTTGCGGCGGGATGATGCAATTATGCAAGGCGGGCGTCTACTGCAAGCTATCCAGGCGTATAAGAGAGCCAAGATGAATATGCGGTGTCGAGGGACCATCCAGAATGTTAGTTTGGTGCCCAATCTCGGCTTTTGAATCACTATCTGAGTGATTGCTTCGTGCATGCTGTTTCTGAACCCAACTTGTTTACGGAGTGCAATATAGCTCCGTACAGGAAAGGTGGGCATTGTCGGCCAATGCCCTAAAAGCAACAAAGAGGACCCATCTCCACCGGGACGGCAGATCCACTCTGGAGGAACTGGGCTTCCTGACCTTTGAGCACTGTACGAACTGTACATACCTACACGTATGTTGTAGCCGATAGACAAGGCAGGTACGTGGTAATTGTGGACTTAGCGTAGATTGCGAGTAAAAGGAGAAGGCGTAATATAATGTTTGCTATATATTGTCGTTAATTGCACGTTCCTTGATGGGCGGAGGCTTAAGCCAATCAATGTCCTTGTAGAGATACAATTTAGTAGCGTACCAATGCCATATATTAAGCACGGAACCCAAATCGAGAAAGGAGCTGTTGTTTAGGGAAATAACAAGGCGACCAGCACTGTTATATAGTAGATCAGGCTGCAATAGAAAAAGCAAAGAACAAAAGAACCCTCGAAATCTGAATCATGAAGATGAAATAAAAAAAGGAAAGTAAATATAAAAGCAATCTACCAACCACTCAATGGCGCGCATGTCCCCTTTTTCTGGCCCAATCACCATTTTCTCCCCACTATCTCCTGAATTTCCCTTCGCCCCTTCTCTCCCTTCTTCTTTTGCTGTTTTCTCGAGAAGGAAGAGAAAAAAAAAAAAGAAACAAGATCCCTTTGTTTTTAAATTATTTTAAATCCTTTTGTTTACCCCAGACCTTGGGATTCGAACTAATAAGATTCTCCAAGAAAAGAAGACGAACCTTGGAAGCTCTGGTTTTCTCCATTTATTTCTTCCCGCCAGTTCCAACCTCCGAACTCTCCCCCTAATTCTCCCTTTGTTTTCCTAAAGGGCTAGGATTTCGCTTTAAATTGTGCGATTCCTTTTTGATCGGCTTCTCTCTTTTCCGTTTCGTCTTTTCTACCTGAAACTCATAATGGCCTCAAAGGTGAGAGCATTGTTATCCAATGTTTTCCCGACTTGTTCTGAACATTCCCAAACGCTAAGCCCGTATTTATCAACAGTTCCTAAGAGAATACAAGCTGGTTGTTGTCGGCGGTGGTGGCGTCGGCAAGTCTTGCTTGACCATCCAGCTGATCCAGAGCCACTTTGTGGACGAGTACGATCCAACAATTGAAGGTGAGCACCTAGAAGACCCCCCGTTTCACCAGCCGCGCAGATCGTGTCGCGTTTTCCCAGGGGTGTCGGACCCAGTTGAACTACATGGCTGATTCGGAATCTTCTTCCGCCTACAGATTCCTACCGCAAGCAGTGTGTGATCGATGATGAAGTCGCTTTGTTGGATGTCCTGGATACAGCAGGCCAGGAGGAATACTCGGCTATGCGAGAACAATACATGCGAACCGGCGAGGGATTCCTGCTCATCTACTCCATTACGTCGCGCCAATCCTTTGAAGAAATCATGACCTTCCAACAGCAAATCCTGCGCGTCAAGGACAAGGATTACTTCCCCATCATTGTCGTTGCCAACAAGTGCGATTTGGAGAAAGAGCGTGTGGTCTCCGAGCAAGGTATGTTCCAATCGTAGATCTACGTTCAGCCTCCCCTGAACTCTCCTTTCTCGTTGAACCCTAAATTCAACTCCGAATCCGAATCCCGTGGCTAACCATTTACCGCGTACAACAGAGGGCGAAGCGCTCGCCCGCCAGTTCGGCTGCAAGTTCATCGAAACCTCCGCCAAGTCCCGCATCAACGTCGAGAACGCCTTCTACGACCTCGTCCGCGAGATCCGTCGCTACAACAAGGAGATGTCCTCGTACCCCTCCGGCTCCGGCGCGTTCGGCGCCCGTGCACCAGAGGGCAAGATGGACGTGAGCGAGCCAGGCGAAAGCGCTGGCTGCTGCGGGAAGTGCATCATCATGTAAAAAAACCAACATACCAAAATGATCCGAATTGCTGCGATGCTGTCGAATCTCGAAACAAACCTCCGGAATCCGAAATATGCAGCACACAATATCGGGAAGAGTCACGGGAGGATTATATGTCATAGGGTGTGGTGCACACCCTTGGGAAAGTTGGATATCTTGTTTACCTTTGAATGGCCTTAATCTGCAACCCGCCACTCAGATCGCAAATGGGAACATACGGAAACTGCAAAAAGATTGCAACCTCGACAGAACAGAAAAACAACCAAACCAGAAAAAAATACCAAAGTGGCATTGTCGTTTGTGTTATGGATGTTTGTGGGTTCTTTAATGGACTCGCATTCTTGATGACTGCCGACCTTGACGCCCAACCTCGTCTCACGAAACATTTTGATTCCCCTTTTGTTGTCCGATTGCGTCTTTATTAGTCCCTTTTTTATTGTCTTTTTACCGTTTTAAGTCTTTGCAAAAGATCCCTGGTGTTATCTATCGCCTCTTATTATCATTATCCTTGTCGCTCCCACGAGACGACACGGCTGTCAATATATGCTCTTTCATGGCAAGGTGGATTCCTTGCCTTTCATCATTGCGGCGTGTACCTTTGTTTGAGGTTCTCCTGGTATCTTGATTGTTCTATCTACGGTCGAGTGCTCTGCGTATGAATATATATGCCGGTCTATCCCCGATGGTGCAATCTATTCCGTCTGATTCCTACAGCTACTGCTTTGATATATCAACGTTCTAGTAATGACTTATTGACAGGGGTTCCCTTGTTGCAAGGCTGCTATGACAGCTACTAGATCATGGCGTGTTCTTAGTGCAGGAATCGCGCTTATAGCATCAAATGATAACCTAGCCTTGTTGGAATATTGACATACTGCACACTCCAATTGAAATATAGATGTTGAATTGCAATGCTCTATGTGCTATGCGTATTTCAAACGTCGCGGCTTAATCCCAAGATAATAACAAACAGTCTACTGGCTATAAACATGCTCCGAGTCGGACGGAGGATCCAACTCATCCTCCTTAGCAACCAGCTTACCCTGAACATTCTCCTCAACCTCACTAGCCAACGACTCCATGTAAGCCTTGTCCGCCCCGACCAAAGTAACAGTATTGCGCTTTTTACCCCAACGCGGATAGCTGCCAACCTTGATCCCCCGAGGCTCCACCTTAGCCGCCAGCTCGGTCAGGTACGATGCCACCGCACTCTCGGGCAACGGCGTGCTGAACATCAAGCGGTGCGTCCCCTTACCCTCCGGGTCGGTCAAACGGGGGATCAGAGAGGGTTTCAAGCTCATGAGCAGACGCTCGAAGAGCCGCGGCACGCCGGGCAGGATGTGCACGTTGCCGTTCACCACGGCGATCGGCACCCACAGGTCGTCAGCGACGAACACGGCCTGTGACTCGGCGGAGAGCTTCGGGTCGAAGGGCAGCTCGACCATGCGCAGCTTGGCGGTCAGGCCTGGCGAGGGTGTCTCCCAGTCGAAGTTGGGTTGCATGGGGTGAGGCTTGGAGAGGCGCTTCATGCGCTCGAAGGCCGGCTTGTGCAATTCCAGCTTCAGGTTGAATGCCTTGGCGATTGCGGAGTATGTGATATCATCGTGTCTGTAAATGGGAATATGTGTTAGCGGTGGGTTTGTATGAAGCGCCGCGTTACTTGCGTGCTTGTGGGCGTTGCATTTTCTCTTGGGTGAGGAGAAACTAGGGACGGGGTTGTACGCACGTGGGCCCAATGCCGCCGCTGGTGACGACGAAGTCATAGCGGGAGCTCATGCGTTGTACAGCTTCTATTATATCCTCTTCATCGTCGGGGATAACCTCGACTCGCTTCAATTCGATGCCGAGCGAGAAGCAGAACTTGGCTAGGTACGGCGAGTTGGTGTCGATGGTCTAAGGGTCGGTTGAGGTAATGTCAGATTTCCTGCTCCGCTCATGAGGGACCCTGTGGATATTTCAAATTACCTTTCCGCCGAGAACTTCATCGCCAATAATGAGGCATGCTGCCGTGTGGATGGGCTTCGGGTGCGCGGCTGATGTCATCGCGGACGGACCTGAGCGAGGGACCAGGGACGAGGTCAAGAAGGAGGGGCTGGTGGGACGATAAGGACTGAATGGGCGTGAGAAGTGTCGCGTCAGTAGGCTCAGTCGGTTGAGCATGAAGATATAAGCAGTGGGAGGAGTAATTTTGGTCTGTTCCAAGGTTCGTTTAAAACGCGGAGGAAGTGAAGTGGGGGAACAGGGACACTCCGCCCGCATTTTCATCGACGTCCTGCAGCCTTCTCCGTTTTTCAGGTCGGACATACCAGTATCATCTTTATTCTGTGTATTATTAGCCCTGGACTCACGACTTTCCTTACTTGACCCTACCTGCTTGTCCCACAGTTGACGCCCAACATGGTGAGATGTCTCCCCGCACCAGGTTGATTGACATCGGCCATGCGACCCCCTCGCAAGTTTCCCCATCAAATGCTAACTTATGGTAGTCTGATTCACGACTATATTCGTTCTCGCCAGAAACCAAGGAGAAGCTGCGCAAGTTCCGCCTAGGCACATCGAGAGCCAAGGATGCGCAAGCTATCATCTGTATGAGCCCCTAAATCTGCGCTTTCCTACATCTCCCATGCATTTCTAGAGAGAAGTCGAGTTATATAGCACATATATAGTGCCAAATATAACCATGCCGCTATACTTGGCTGGGTCTGAAGCTGACAAGCGATGCGTGACAGATATTATTGATGCAAAGACCCAAGAGATCCGGCCGCAAGACGATGAAGTCTACTCCAAGATGGAGGATCTGGCTGATGATCTCCCCGAATCTTCGCCACGATTCATTCTCCTCAGCCACCCAATGACTACCGTAAGTTGTCTATCAAAAATACAGACTTGGTCAGTCCTACGAGATACGATGTACTAAATGAGATATGCACTCACAGAAAGACGGACGCCCCTCAGTCCCATACGTTCTCCTCTACTGGCTCCCCGAGAATTGCAACCCGATGCAACGCATGTCGTATGCAAATGCAGTGGAGCTGATGCGCACCAGTGCCCAAGTCAACCGGGTGATTGAGGTGGAGGCCGATGAAGATATCATCAACATCAAGTCCAAGCTGACCGGGTCGGATTAAGCCGCCTAGGCTAGCCAGTGCATCTCTTGGTTGGAGGGCATGTCAGTGGATTGAGCATATACCCAAGGCGTGGGTTTTGTATAGAGGACGGGGCGTTTTTGCTTTTTCCTTTTTTCTTTTTTCGCAGATTGGCTGGATCGATCCTATTGGCTTGTAAATGCCGCCCATGCACACACACAGACACACTGCTCCGTATGCGGGTGTTGAATGTACTTCTGGAATTCGAAATCTGACATGCACTTGGCTACCTAGACGAACCTAATTGCCGGGATCTCAAGCTCGCGTCGATCACACAGGAGCAGTCCCAACAGCAGAATTTGTGATCTATCGACCAGATGATTTTCAACGGTGCAGTTCGTATACCCGAGCTAGTGGTAGATCTCACGAGTTGTGTGATCAAAGGTAGTGCTGTCTCCTGGTTCCTAGAGAGAGTAGCCAAGGCCCATTATTCGGGGATGCCGATACTCGCCTGGGCTCCGCCGGCCTCAGTTGTAGTCAGCCGGCACTGCATGGCCAATGGCTTGATCACAGAACGCTTGTACTAGTTTTTGTCATCATTACCATCATTATTCACGAATAGCAAGTCGTCCTGTCCAGAGGGGCGATGTTCCCTGCATCTTCCAGCTAAGCCATCGATCGCCCCCAGCCATTGATGGACAGCCAGGCTGATCGATGTAACTAGACCTAGTGCTCGCTAGGGAATCAGCCTAGCTCTCGAGCGCAAAATCTTTTCAATCTCACAAGACCTTCGGGGGCCGATGATCATCTTTGTAGTTGTCATACGCTGGAGGGACTTTGCTCATTCCACCCGTGGACCATTTATATGGCCGCTGAAAAAGACTCCGTGTCATTTGATTGATACAATTGGCTCGTTCCTGCTTAGGTGCAACGGGTTAGTTGAAGTGGACATGCAATATATATGGCAATGGTTGATTGGTCCTCCAAATGTGACCGCCCACTCCGAGACTTGCTCTCCACCGTTCACTAAACTCTGATTTTCTTCCCTGGAGGTCAATTGGTTTGCCGCCTGTGCAGGTTGTACAAGATATGGTCTAGAAGTTCATCGATGTGGTTTAGTACACGTGAAAAAGTCAAAATCCTTTACAATATGCGCGGTTATAGATACCGTGCTACTCGGTCTCGAATTGTCTCCCACTTCAATGATTTCGATATTGTACAGTGTATAGTGATACTAATATCAGTACTGTTATGCTTTCGAGGACCAATTGGATGGCACGAAGGGCGGGAATCCCATAATTTGTGACTTCTGGAATAGCGGTGGCAAAGCGGGCGTGTCATCCGTTTGTGGCTTTTTACCCAGGGGCCATTGCACCGGGTCGAGTATTAATGCACGCTATTTGGAAGTGTGATATGCAGTCTATGTATAAATGTAAATGGGGCGAAGTATCTAGACAATTGGAAGAATACAGACCCAATGTAATGTTGCAGAGCATCATTAGCACGAACTGTATTTTTGTGTGGTCATATGGCAGATAAGAGGCAAAAGACTCCGGATTACAGTGTACGGGATACACTACAGCATACACTATCTATATGTACTCCGTATGTATTGTTCGATTGTGTATATCAAATTGTGCAAGTCTATACCTCCGTGCACATGGGAATGGGTCATTCATGCTCTCTGCATGCAGAAGGTCCGCTGGGATACTCAAGTAATAATCAAGTACGGGAAATATTGCTGTTGCAGACATATGTGATTGTATGGTCACCGTAAGTATCTAGTAGATAAACTACCTAACAGCCCGGAAAGGATGCCTAAGTATCAATATCAATATCATCTTAATCCGTACACAATATTACCATATACTATACAGCACCACGATGGGACCAGCGATCCGACCAACCTCCACTCCTCACCCGTCCCTCTTTGAGTCCACAAGGGAAATTGATTTTTATTTTCCAAAGGCGCTGGCTAAATTTTATAAAAATATATTATCTTGGGCTTGCCAGGTTTATAAACAATTTCTAAGCCCACTTTTTATTGCAAGGGGTTAGAAGTGACAGAAGGCTAAAAACCTTTTGCAGGCTAAAGAGCCCGTTGGGGGATAAAACTCCAAAATGGCATGATCAACGGTTACGTCTGAGCTACTGCAGTAGCGCATTAGCCTCGGGTCGTAGTCAGTTCCTTTCCTCTCCCTAGCAATTTTCCTTTTGTTTTCGGTTGATCTCTTGGATTTCATCATTTGCGGAGTACATCGTAAATCGTGAGACGAACTGCTCGTGTTTATACTTTTGTACTTTGCGCTTTGGGATCCCCGTGTCATGCATCATGCATGGCCTCTTCTGGTCCAATCGTCTGAGAGATGCCTGTCCGTCAAAGGTTCTTTTCTTTCGCCGCCCGGCAGTGCTAAAGGAATTCTGCATGGGCTTGGGCTTCTGGATCCTGCGTAGACTTCTTCACAATCCCAGTAACCAATAATCCAGTCAGCACTATAAAGACCAGCACTGTAAAGAAAAAAAAAAAAAGGAAATATACCTTATCAATGAGAATAATGAGTTACATATCCCGAGTATGCACCCATACGGAGTACTTATGTCTAGTCCGGTAACAATCCCTTTATCTCTGCTGTACCATTGTTCATTGTACATCGTACAAATTACTACATATGTATACAAATACAAAGTACAAAGACTTGAAGAAACGACCAAACTCTATCCGTAAACGAGTTCGGCATGTCCAGGGCAGTCCAAATCCCGGTCTTAAGGGAAGACTCCAACCTCCTGATCGACCACAATAACCTTGAGTAAATTGAAGGCACGCCCATCGCTTATGTGCCCCTCAACTTATGTTTTTTCCTGATCCGCTCCCACTGATAGACTGAAAGTTAGCTGTTTCTGGAAAGGGAGCCGGGATGGCGGGTGCTGCCGTAGGGAAACCAGGAGCCAGATGTCACTCCTTCCCGGTGGTCCGGCCCACTCTTGGACTCAAAACTTCATATGCCACGCCACCGGTCGACCGCCGGGAAAGGCTACTTAAGTGTACTTGCTTTGTACTTTTGTACTTTTGTACTGAGCGTGACGAAACGTAAACGTTTCCCCATGAAGGTTTGTCCCAAGACGGGAAAGCAGGGAGCCAATGGCGTGCCAAGAAACAGGGGGGCCCTGATGTCCAAGGAGCCAATTAAATGGCACGCTATTCCCGGATATGAGTTTGTTATGGAGAGAATCTCCTGAGGCCACAGAGTTTCGCGGCCAAAGTCATTTTTTTCCAGGTGTCACCGGGTTGGAGGAGAAAGAGTGGGGATGCACATCAAAGACTAAATGGGTCGCGGAGTTAATACTTTACCCAGTCCCGAAGTCTTCATACGGTCAGTACCTGGATGTAGGTACCTCCCTATAATGGTTAGTATGAGGAAATACTTTGGCATATGTACTAGTCAGTGCCGGAGAAATAGTACTTTCTAATCGGGACAGTGAAAAGGAAAAAGAATAAAAATGTAAAATACCCAGCATTATCAAGCAAAAAAATTCAAATAAAAGAAATATTCAATAGCATCCCAAACCATCCGAATCCACAGAACCACAGTCTCGGAATCCCCACGTCTGAGCTTTGGTTTTTCTTATACTGTTATACAATACCTCTTTTGGTATTATCGTCTGATTTATGATTTGACTCTCTATAATAATTGGGTTGTCCCTACTTTTCCCTGACAACTTCTGCTCGGAAATCCCACCTTCCCGGTCCACTTCGATATTATTCACACTTGACATATCTTGTGTGGAATGAATCCCGACACTCTGGATATCAAGAACTTCGCCATTACATTCTAGTCCGACTTAACAATGTCTCAAGATGGTCGTGAAGACAAGCCCGAGGGCTTCTCTAAATACCTTAAGCGTATGAAGACCGTCCTCCGTCCTCGGTCAATGTCCAAACGGCAATCTATAACTCCTGGGGCGTACGATATACAACATTCTTCTACTTCAACACTCGACGCTGACTAGCATTGCCTAATATAGTGCACCATCAGCAACATCACCACCGGCAGCGGCACCAGTATCGGCACCAAGACCAGTGTCAGCAACAGTATCGGCACCAGCACCAGTATCAGCAACAGTATCGGCACCAGCACCAGTATCAGCAACAGTATCGGCACCAGCACCAGTATCAGCAACAGTATCGGCACCAGTCTCACCACCAGAACCAGCCCAAGACTTCAGCCCAGGTCCAGTCATGATCACCAACTACAGCGCAACCCAGCAGGAAAAGGCCCGCGTCCTCTTCGCCAAATACGGCCTGACCATCGACACCAGCGACTGGAAGACACCCCCGGACCTCCAGCTCACCCGCGTAACGAAGCCAATCCGCATGCGAGTGCATCGTACCTGCCACCGCTGCCAAACAACCTTCGGCAAAGAGAAAGTATGCATCAACTGCCAGCACACCCGCTGCACAAAATGTCCTCGACACCCACGCGCCCGCGAGGATGGCGAACCGTCAACCCGCAAGCCCAAGAACCCAGAGACCTACATCCAATCCCATCTGTATCCCAGGAACACGCACCTCAAACTCAGCACCACCAGGGAGGTTTCAATCAAGATGGCATCGCCCACGGGCGGCCCGGATTTCGTCCATCGACCGGTGCGCCAGCGTGTCCATCGCTACTGTCACTTCTGCGCCTCGCTCTTTACCCCCGGATCCAAGGAATGCCCGAGTTGCAGCCATGTGCGCTGCAAGATATGCCCGCGGGACCCGGCCAAACTCGACAAGTATCCTGATGGCTATCCGGGCGATGCTGATCCGCCCAAACCCAGACCCGAGCGTACGTGGAAGAAGCCTCGCCAAAGAGTCCATTATGTATGTCACGTATGTGAGACTTGGTTCCAGGGTGACGCAGAAACTTGTGTGAATTGTGGTCAGGCGAAGTGTGAGAAAACTATACGAATCCCGTACGTGATATCAATCCTACAATATATGTGGCTTGGGATTTCTTGCTAACATTCAACTCCTCTTGCAGACCTAAAAAGGCCAAACGAGAAACGGACCCTGAAGTTCTCAAGAGCATTGAAGATAAGCTAGCAGCTATGGCGATTGAATCAACGACAGGCATTGCCGAAGCGGCCTGAGCTCGCAACATACAGAGTCGTTTACCCGATTTATCTTTACAGCCGACCATGACCAACACTCCTTTATGATATCCCTCGTTTACCACTGCTTTTATCTCGCATGTTATTCATACTTCCTCAAACTTGATCCATCCGATGATAGCTTCGTCATTTTTATATGCCTACCAAGCAAGACAGAACAGACATAACATACACATGCATGGGATAGCATTAACATCCGCGCATTGAAACGAACCCATTTCTCTAACCGGGTCAGCTCCAGGATTCAGCACCGGACCTGAACTAGCAGCGCCTACATTTCCCAATTTCTAGGTTACACCTACCTACGCATGCGTCCCCGACACGAAACCCGATGATGTGTACATTTCCATGACGGCCGGGGGCGGACGTGCATATCGTATATTACCCGCTATGTTGTAAATATATTGGCATATGGCTTGATGTACACATGCAATAGCAGTAGTTACAGAATATGGAACTCGGTGGCAATGTCAAACAGGGACCTAAACCAGGAATTCCACTTAGCCACCACCACTTTCCGCTTCCTGGGAATAGCAGACGTCATTGCCGGACATGACCCCCAAAAAAAAGAACACTGCATCGAACCCCTCCACTATCCCAACGGCGTTTATTCCTAGACCACGCGGTTTGGCCCACTCATATTTTCCTACGTCATGCCACCCAGTGGGACGATGCATGTGCAATTGCCTCGTCAAAGTACATCGTGCGTCGTGCGTACTGTCTGCCTTCTATCATCTATCTTCCATTGCAATAATTCCAAATTCCAATGCCCTATCTCCCGGGCCTATCTCTCGGTCTGATATATACCGTCAAACGATGTGGGTGAGACAGCGCCACGGAAGGTGAGCACAAACCGGAATCCTTCCGTGGACGCATCTCAGGTAGAAGAGTTATCTTCGGCCGAAGAGGGCATAAATCGTACCACATTTGGAACCTAGATACTCCTTCCATTTCTGAAAGTATTTAGTGTTGTAAAGGTGACTTAGAACGTGGTGGGTAAGTGGGCAACACAGCCCGTGTGGCTCCGTTTGCACGGTCCGAGCCTTTTTTATTATTTTATTTATATATAGATTGAACCAAATTGAGAGTGGTGCATGACTTTTGACAGCGGCGGGGGAATTACCGAACATTTGGTACTCCGTGCAATGTTTTTCAATGTACATAGTCTCGTTGCAAGGATTGTGTTCCCAGAATGGAGTGCATTGAAAAGCCAAGTCAGGGCATAATAATGTACAATATATAGTGGGGCAAATAGCGGGATACACGGCGCTGGTTATTGGCCTGGAGAAATCACCCATAGCCGCTGATATCTCGATTTCTGGGCTTTGGGTTCAGTCAGACAGTTTCCTGTTGTAGTATGGATCAGTATGGATCAGTATGGTTTGATGTGGATTTGAAGGTTTGAAGAGGATTTCATATTTGATAATTTTTTTTGAAAGAAGTAGCTTATCCGTTTGATCTCTCGAAATGGCCCAGTCCAACATCTATACAATATATGTTTTTGCTTTTTCACGCTTAACAAAGTACCCCCTAACCCCTGTCACTTACCCCTGTCGTCTATCCTTACAGGATAGTTCTAGAGATCCCCGTTTTATCCACCACGGAGTAGCCAAGTATGGAAACAGCTGCAGGGAAACGACTCGACAGGACATAAACCCGGAAGCCCGGAGACGAGAGGGTTACCCGCTGTCACAACGCATTATCGCACAGAATATCCAGATTGTTGGGTCGCGGGGTTTGCATTTTTCTCAAATCCCGAGGTCTAGACACAGTGTGCGGAGTACTTATATGAAGGTTCGGTCAAAAGTACCTGCTGAAATATGCACGGAGGATAATGCCGCCAATAAGTCGGGGGGGTAATGGTTTCGGAGGGAGAGTGGACAACCCGGTTCCAGAGCGCTGGGAATTGAGCGGCTGGGAAAAAAGCGCTTGAATGTGTTCTTTTTTTATGGAAATTTAATAGTGGCTGGGACTGCAATCCATTCTCAACGGCCAACTAACCCAATCAAGAATTTATTTCAGTCTCTTTTGTTCTCCATTGCTGTGTGGTCTCTGCCCAGGTGGTGACGGTGAAGTAAGGAATGCGGTGTAGCGTTCCTTGTTGGGTTTAGCGTGCTCCTGCCCTTTACCATCCGTGTGCGTGTTCCTATACGTGCGGCACTTCATCCTCCCTCGATGCTCTGCAGGCCTATGAAAACGATTTGGAGACTCGGGATGCTCTCCAAGCTTGAACAACCTCGAATGTGACTCCGGCATCATATATGTCTTGCTCATAGCGTCTCGACTATGCGTTCATGTGGAATCGAAGCATCCGAAGACTGAGTTGTTGTCCGTGGGAAAACGCAAGCGAAGAAAGCGTACATTGCGGGAGAAAATACGAGCGGACAGAAGCTGCACCAAACTAGTGCGTACCGTGAAGTATTTGTACCCCGACCCAGCAATAGTACTTAGACGCTATAGTCTGCAAAGTAGGAGTGGATGAGTTGGACATCACAGGATCAACGAAATAACATTGTATTGAACAGAATCGCCAAGGCACGCCATCAACCTTCAAAGGTTCGATTTAAGCAAAGGAAGCTGGCACCAACTACGAATGAGGCTCGACGGAATCACAGAGCTATAAAAGGGAGTAGCTTGAGTTCGCGTCTGAAGATGTCAGAGGTTTCGACTAGAAAGATTAGCTTGCGGCTATATCTGACATTGTCAGACGGTTCGATCAAAAAGGAGTAGCGCCATTGCCAGGCTCGGTCTCGACCGTGCCTATCCACTGGATCCGCTCCAGGTCTGTTTAGACTGAAAGTAAATTCTATTCAGCAAGGGAGGTCCACTTCGATGTGACTTCCCTGTTCTTTTATTTGGTCCTGTGAATGAAATAACAGTTCAAGAGGGGGAAGGAATACAATGAGAAAAGTTACAATATGAAGCCCGAGTGTACAACAAGTAAAATCCGATCATCCCAGAGTCCACTTCTGGCAAGCCCAAAAGCCAACGGACCAAAACAGAGAGCACCAAACACGACGCTACAAGGGGCCTCCTTAAGAGGCATGAAGAAAGACGGGCCCATACAGTATCAAGTCTTGAACACGATAGTAGTCCCCCCCAAAGCATATCCGCCGTCGTGTATGCGGAGGTCAAGGACTTGTAGATCAGGTCTTGATATCTGAAGCCGTCAATATTCGGGAAAATCTGCTCAGAGTACATCCTAGCAACCTCTTTAACATCTTCGATTTCGTCATATGGCCGGGTACCCCCCTGAAATTTCATATATCCGGCATCCTAGGGCAAACAAGTCCGTCTTGAAAGACCGTGGTGACCACGGTGCTAAGCGATATCGGTCTTCTTCCTCTACGTATGCCTCCATATCGCCGATGACCGACCCAGCAAAATCGCAAAGTTTGATAGATAGGTCATTGGCTATGAGGAATTCCGTGGGCTGATATCGCCATGAACCACACCATGGCTATGGATGAAAGCGACAGCATCAATAGCACTTTTGATCCACTTGTGTCGAATGTGCTGAGACACCTTATTATCACGTATATAGGTGCGAATGTTTCCAAATCGAAATACGGAAAGTGCAGGCCTTGCTCTATAATTATCGAGGCAATCGAGGATGTTTGGGTTCTTCGGCAGAGTTTGGTAGATGAGCTTTTCGCGGGTAATACATAGATCCGATATATATTCTATGTGCTGCATGTTCTCAATTGCGATTCAGTGCATCCCGTGAGATCGTGGGTGATAGGGCTCTTGATGACTCCATTTCTATCTTCAAAAAAACAGCCCTGCTGTTCCCAAGGCAATGAATCTTGCTCCAGGAGGCTGCAGCCAACGTGGATAGCCACTCATGCTGAACTAGGAGGGAAATCAAGATTGAAGGAAAGAACTCGAAGATAAGTACTGAAATTGAAAGGATAGGATGGACGGGAAGCTGGCGTGAAATAGATACACAAAGCAAGGGGTGGGGCTTCATCCAATCAAAATGAGAAACCAACACATGAATGTCTTGGATGAGTGACCTGTATTCAGATCAAAAACCAGAAAAGGAAAGGGCCAGCAGACTCCTGATTTAGGCACCATGCTCATATTCTTGAGTTGGTATTGCCCTCGAACTCAATGTCGAGTGATATGACACTATGCCTAATCAAGGATAGCGGGAAGCAATGAGACCCGCGTGAAAACACCACGGTTTGGTGACCAAAAGGCACGCACAATCGTGTCTTTTTCATCGTCACACATATTTAGCCAATTCAATAAGTTAGGACGCCTACAAGATCTAGACCCAAGAGGTTAGATTGCACTATGTCTTTTTCTAGCTTGGGGAGAATGCGTAATTTACACATATTACATCTGTAGTATCGAAGAGGATTCTCCGTGCGGAATATAGAGGCATCGACTTTTATTCCCACCCCCTGGACGGTGATCGCCGAGACACAAAAGATACGATAAATGCAGAAGCAGAGGTCTTCAGGAAGAGCCTAGATTCTCTCCACCTAATTGTCTTTACCGAAGTGTCGGGTTGAAGAATCGGAGCTATCGTATCTTCAGGAGATTCTAATCGCGTATTCGAAGGATTCCTTAACCTACTTAGAGTTTGTCTGCATGTGTCAGGGGGCTGATCTATGTTGTAGAGTACGGAGTAGACCCACCCAAAGGAGTGTAGTATGTATGTATGTATTATGGAGTACATCTCCTGGGCTTGGTGGATCTAGCCCAAGGGTTGTTTCTGCTAGTTTTGCACACCTATGCTTTATGCTTCTGTTTCTATTTTGATTGGTAATTTATCTCGACCCATTGGATGGAAGTTCGATTAATGTAAGATTAACTATCTTAAATCCAGGGGTTTGACATATACAAAGAGGCCCGACTGAAACAATATTCTCAGTTGGAAGGGCACCTTCCCGATTTGGAAAACTTCGGATGAAGTTATTGGTGCTGCCTTCCATGATTGTCTGTACTAGTTCTAAGATCACCAAAATAGT